AAAGCATTAAGCCAACATCCATGCTCAATAGGGCAACGCCCAAGAAAGCAGCCATACAAATGCAGAAATCGAACTTGTCGACCTTGAAAAGATGATATATTTCTTCGTATTTGATCAAACCAAACATGGCGGACATAATAATGGCGGAAAGGGCTACAAGAGGAGTGTAGCTGAAGAGAGGTGCTAGAAAGAGGAGCGTGAGAGCCATGAAGATCGCCATCACTACGTTTGACATTGGTGTTCTACATCCAGCATTGAAGTTCACTGCAGTCTTTGAGAATGGCCCTGAAAGGTAAAAATGTCATTTCATTTTGAACTGCTCTTTGTTAGAATGAAATTATTAGTTTAATTATTACCAGTGGTTAAGTAGCAGGAAGTGAAAGATCCCACGATGTTCATCAAACCAAAGGCTACCATCTCTTTGTTGCCATCGACTTGTTCGTTTTTCATTATTGCAAAGCTTCGACCAATTGCTATTCCTTCCTGAGATAGTCAAACCATGATGAATTATGAAAGCTCAGAGACTCAATTGAGAGAGACAGAGAGAGAGAGGGCTAAGAACTTACAGCCAAAGCCACAAGGCCAGTGATGGCACCAGCTTGTACCACAGCTGATAGATATTTTGGGTCAAAGTTCAAGGAGTGAATAGAAGGAGGGTTTATTCCTTTGTTCAAGCGGCCCACCTGAGGTGAAATCAAGGCATACAAAATGAGAACAGACAGGTGTTGGTTCAGAAACTCCATTGATTGTGGCTTAAAGGAACGAAATGATACAGTTAAGATTCCATGCTGACTTCCATGGACGAGATATGCAACCAAACACCCGACTATCACTGTCACCATCGGAGCCATCGCTGATACCCAAAACAGCTTCGGGTTTCTATCTCTCTGTTTAACCAAAAACAGACAAACCCATTTGTTTTCACCGACAGAACAGAGATTGAAAAGGAGAGAGGAGAGGAAAATTTACTTACCAGGTACCTAGTAAACTGGAGGAAGACAAGGAAGACGACGCCCGTGACAGCACTTTGCCATCTCCACTGCAATTTGCAGGGCAAAAAAAGAGAAAGTTTAGGTCTGTGTTTGAATTCAAAAGACAGGAAGTTAAAACAGGAACAGGATTTTAACCAACCTCATTTTTAAGGGAGAAAACGGCATGGAGTACCGAATAGACGTCGGTTTTAGAGGTGAAATGAGTGAGTCCAAATATGCCTTTCAGCTGTTGCAGGCAAATGATCACAGCTGTTCCTCCCATAAACCCTAGGATCGTTGAATGCGATAAGAAATCCACCAAGATTCCCAATCTGTCCAGTCTCAATCAACACGCAATCAGAAATTCTATTTTATAAAACAAAGAAAAAAATTTATGGGGCCGCACCGTAGAATCCCTAAGGCCGTCTGCATGACGCCGGTGATTAAGGTGGCTGTTAAAACCAGGTGTAGATACAATGTGGGGTCTTCTTCCGGCGACGCCACTTCTCCGATGATTTCCGCTATTAGCAACGAACATGCCGCCACCGTACCCACCGCCAGATGCTTCGAGCTTCCAAACACCGCATACACAAGCGGTGGAACGAAGCTCGAATCTGCACCCACATAAATAACTACTCTAATTATCAGAATTCCAATACACACCCAACTGGTTAATCAATATCACCATAAAGACAGATAGAAAGCAAATAGTTAAATTTTGAGATGGATGGGACCCACAAAGGCCGATGATGGGAGGGAGGCTGCCAAGCTTAGCGTAGCTGATGCCTTGGGGGATGGCGAGGCTGGTAATGGTAATACCAGCGAGCAAATCATACTTAAACATATTAAAATTGTATTTAGGAAGCCATTCCAATATGGGGATGAAATACTGGACGGCCTTTTTGAGTTGGTGCGTTGGCTTATCATCACGAAACTGCCTGAAGGGATCATCGGGATAAAACGTCTCTTTCAGATCTGATTTCAGCCTGTTCAGGAATGGTCTTGGAGCAGCAAAGCTCACATTTTGTTCACTTTTCAACGAACCCATCAGAGAGAAGCAAAAAAACAGAGGAAAATTAATGCATGAGAAGGATTAAGTTTAGTATAGACAGGAAATGTTGAGTGGAGACGATGGTAAATGGATAAGATAAATAAGAAGAAAAAGATGAACGAAATAGAGAAGCGGAACAGAACAGTTGACGGTTTCTTAGGGAATGGGAAACAGATGTAATCAAGTTATGGGGATTTCTTAAACTTATCAAAGACCGATTGTTTGGAACAGGACACGGTTGGTGGCAGTGTGTTGTATGAAGACTGGTTTTCTAATCTGGGACAACCTCTGGGTTTTTGCGGGATTACAAGTTTGTGTGGTGATTTATGATAGTGGACTCAGCGGAGGGAATTGCATGCAAAATGAAGGCCACATTCCTTCTTTTGCCTGCACAAATTTAACGAACATTGCTCCCCACCATGCAAATTTTAAGTTTACACCCTTACTCAAACGATGATATTAGTGTCACAAGAACTTGTTGCATAATCTAATGATTCAAACATACAACTAACGATGGGCTTGAACTGTTTACAAATGGTGTTAGAGTCAGACATCGGGCTGGGTGCCAGTGAGAAGGACGCTGGCTCCCAAATGATAGATTGTAAGATCCCAGATCGGTTGGATAAGGGAACTAAAAAAATATGAAAATCTCTCCCTAATAGACACATTTTAAAACTGAGAGGGTGACGATATAAATAAAATGTCTAGCAGTGGGGTTGAGCTGTTATAACATTTTGTTAATTATTATTATTCTTTTATAGGGCAAAAATAGAATTTCAAATTAAGTTAGTAAGTTTATTCCATTATTCTTAGGGTAACCAAACAAGAAAGCTCATTTAAAGTGCATTAGGATTTAGGAACCATACAATAAATTTATCTTTTTGATCTTTTAAATAATTCTCTTTTTGAAATATCTTTTGGTACCCAAAATTGGTTTGAATTTGATCATCTTAGAAATATTCATAATACATTTGGAAATAAAATTTTTAAACAGCTATAAGATTATTTATTGTTTCTCCAATGTCCATTGGTTAAATTTTATAAAAATTATATAATATTCAATCCTATATTAAATTCCAACTTTAATTTTTTCCCAAGAAAAAAAGAGAACAAATACAATTACATTAAGGATGATATATTCATAGAATTTATTTATCACGTTATCAAATAAAAAAAATTGGAATAATATCAATGCTTATTTTGGTCCAAAAATATAATCTTTCATACTACCCATTATTAAAAAAAAAAAAAAAAAAAAAACACCTTTTCAAAATATTTACTTTTTTTCAACTCTTATAGAATGAATTTGTATTAAATAACAAAAAAAAAAATAATAATAATAATTATCTATATAATTAGTTCAAAGAATTTTTTGTTAAAAAAAAATGGTTATAAGCATGTTGGATAATATTTGAAAAAAAAGGTTAAAAGTAAGTCAAACCCGTTTTAAAAATAGAATTTTTTTAAAAGAATCAAAATAACTTAAGAAAGAACCTTCTAAGATGCTTATCTTCCTTAGAAGAGTATCTTAGATGGTTCAGTTGTTCTCGATTACTTCGAACCAAAATAGTTATCTATTTATATAGATGATTAGATATCTATCAAACAAACAATCTTATCGGAATGGAATACAATTTAAGAAAAACTTTTTTTTTTTAATAATATGTAAAAGCATTTGATATGGAGGGAATCAGAACAAGGGTTTTGAAGAGGAAAGAACATAAGCTTTTTCAACAAAGCCTCCAAATTAGTTATGGAATATTTATTTGTTTTGTAATATTCATTTGTTACTATGAAGGAAGAAAATTTTGATATCAATACTTCCATCTTTAGGAAACAGATAAATTCTGTTCATTTGAAATACCTTGTGGATCTACCATCATTTATATCAACCTAATTTTCTATTATTTTCTGTGTTTTTTTTAATATTTTTTTTACATATACTTCAGGCCGTTACAATTTAAATACATTTCTCAATCATATAGTTAAGTAGAGATGTTCATTTAATAGGTCCTCTCTCAAACGAGATGAAGAATAATAGAGGAAGTAGTGTAACAACTCAAGTCTACCGTTAACAAATATGAATTTGCTTTTCCTTTCAGATTTCCCCTTCAGAAATAGGTTTCCACACCCTTATAAAAAAATGTTTCAAGATTCACCCTCTTGGGGGCACAACGTCCTTGCTGTCACATTGTTATATGACTTTGATATCATTTGTAACCGTCCAAGTCTATCACTAGCATATATTGTCCTCTTTGAGCTTTTTCTTTCGGGGTTTCTCTCAAAATTTTTAAAACGCGTCTACTAAGAAAAGGTTTTCACACACTTATAAAGAATGTTTATTTCTCCTCTCAAACCGATGTGCGATCTCCATTGACAAATCTATAAAATGGGGGCCTAAAAAATGTTTAAAATAAATTTATAGTGAGAAAAGATAGAAATTTTAGAAATATTTGAGTATTTGAGCAGCCATGGATAACAATTTTGATTTTAATTTCTATTTCAATTTATATATTTTTAAATATCTAATTTTAGCTAAAATATTTTCAATGAAAATTAACATTAGTCAATTTTTATTAAATAAATATCCATTTGTATTAGAATTTTGGTTCTTATTTTGGAGTGCTGAAAGGGGGAAATGGTTTTCCTTATCACAACGGTAAAATAAATAAAAAAAAAATAGTAATAAAAAAAATTATACAAATTTTTAAACTTCTAAAATAAAATTTAAATTGGTAGACGGAGTGGAGGGAAAATATTAGCGAGAATCCAATGTCCGGACAGCCCGAAGTCGCTTTGGGCCCGGCCCAATGTTTCCTTTAAACGCCGTTGACTGTATGCTTCCTACAGGCGAGTCGGCGGCCTAAAATTAACTTAACGGTAACAGAACAACGGCAACTGAATTCAAAAATCCAAAGTGCACCTAATATTTGAATTTCAAATTTGAATCTCACAAACCCGTAACGGCCATTTCCTCTCTTCTTACTCTCCTTATACCTTATCGTTCTCCTTCACTCCTCTTCCTCACTCCCCGAAATTCCGTCATGGCTTCTCTCACTCCCGGAATCCTCTTGAAGCTCCTTCAGGCCATGAATTCCAACACCAGAGTCACTGGCGACCACCGTTCTGCTCTCCTCCAAGTCATCGGCATTGTTCCAGCCCTCGCCGGTTCCGAATTATGGCCCAATCGTGGGTTCTACATCCAGCTCTCTGATTCCCTTAATTCCACTTACGTCTCGCTTTCAGATCGCGAAACAGATCTCATCCTCTCGAATCGACTGCATCTCGGCCAGTTCGTTTATGTCGATCGTTTCGAATTCGACACGCCAGTCCCACGTGTTTGCGGTATTCGTCCGATTGCAGGGCGGCAAGCTTCTGTTGGAAGTCCTGAGCTACTGATTGCGAGGATTTCGGCTTCTAAGCGTGAGTTTGTGATCCAACCGGTGACTGATTCGGATCAATCGGCTGATCCTATTGCTGCATTGTCGTCCAATCAGAAATTGGAGGAGTCTCAAATTAATGAATCCAGGAGTACTTCGAAGACTGGAAATGGTAGAGGGAGGCAAGCCCTAGCTTCTCGAGATAATGTACAGATTGAAAATGTGGGGAGTACTGAAGGGAGCAAGGTTTCTCTTAAGCCTCAGAGGTTTTCTTCTCCTGCGTCAGGAAAAAGATCTATGTCAGCTGGAAAGAAGAATGTGGCGGTGGTTGAGAGAGATCCTTCACCGGCTGGAAAGGGGAAGAGGTCGGCTTCTCCAGTGCCCTCGAAATCTGTAGTCCCGAGTTTGGTAGCTGCACGTGAAGAGAACCGGGTGAGTTCAAAGGAGGCCGCCATTATAGTTCCTTCGAGGTATCGACAGGCATCCCCAAATGGAAGGAGACAAGCTTCTCCTAGTGTACGTAGGGCTTCTCTTTCACCGGCAAGAAGGTTATCAGGGGGTTTGAAGGTCTCCCCTCTTTTGGCAGTTGCAGATTCTTCCAGCAAGAAGAAGATGACTAACATAGCTTCTGGGATCTCTAAGGTTTCTGAGGCACTTGTTGGGTCTGCAAAATCGAATAGGAAGAGCTGGGATGATCAATCAACTGTCTCTTCTACCTCTGATGAGCACAGAGAAAGTGGGGTTTCAAAGAACAAGCCAGATCTACAAGCAATTCTTCGGACACAGGTACAATCATTATACCTCGTTGATAACTAGACCCTTTCCATTTTTATATGATGTTGTTGTCTTCTCTAGGCTGCTATTTCTAGACGATTGAGTGATGTAAATGATCATAGACCCAAGAGTGACGATGTGCAAAGAAAAGAGAAAAAGAAGTCCTCCAGCCCATCTAAGTGTGAGGCTCCAGATGAGAGAAAATTTTCGGGTCTTGGTATCACTGTTCACGATAAGAAATGGAGTGATGGCAGTGTTCTAGTTGATGCAGCTCCTTCCAATCTTGTTAAACTTTCAAAGGTTCGAATTGAGTTTGTGAGTACTAGGGAAAAAAATATGTAAATTTAGTGTAAAACTTGGACTGAAGTTGTAGTTGTTGATGTTATCAGGAGGCTATGCAAAGGAGAGATATTGCTTCTATAGCTGCAGCTGAAGCGTTGGAGGAGGCAATTTCTACTGAATCCATTATAAGGAACATAAGGTATGCATTAGCCACCTTTCCATTTCTTAGTGTTTGATTTGAACTTAATTGATTTTAACTTCCGTTTCTTTCCAGCATGTTTTCAGAACTTTCCTCTACGCACAAGACTGGAGACCTTTTGCACGTAGTGGACCAGTTTTTCATGATCTATAACGATGTTGTGAAATCAACGGAGATTGCCGAATCAATTTTTAGCAGCCGGAATGGCAACAAACCTTGTGCCATTCCGGAGCAATCCAAACCTGCCTCCCTCTGGGTTGAAGCCGCCTTAGCCACCAACCTCGAGATAGTCTCACTTCTCACCAGCCATGACAAAGGCTCTTTGCACAAAAGCGGATCAAAAAGACATACTATGGAGGCCTCTTCAGTTCCCAACTCCTCCAGCGCGGTGGTTCCATGGAGTAGAGGCCATGGAATGAAAGAGACCGTAGAGCTTGCTATGGAGTTGCAGTCTGAGATGAAGCTTTGGTTTCTCAAGTTTGTGGAGGATTCCCTTGATGCAGGTTCAAAGGTGTTCAGAGAAAGCTCTGGAGATGGCGTTAAAACATCGCCTCCAATCCCAAATCGTGGCTCCATTGCATCTGTTTTGTCCCAGTTAAAGCGAGTTAATGACTGGTTGGACCGTGTAGTTTCAAAGCGAGATGATCCTTTGAAAGAAAAGGTGGAAAGGTTGAAACGAAAGATATATGGTTTCGTCATCCAGAATGTTGATTGTTGATTCTTAATTTGTGTCGAAATCATCATCATGCTTAAGAAGAAGCATGTTTCTTAATTTCTCAGTTACTTTATCTTTAAGCTAAATGGGAAAAGTTCAAATTTTTATTGTATTTCTTGTGCACATTATGTTTTTTCACATCACGAACAATGTCAGTACCACCTGCAATCCACCAACAGAACTTTAAAATCCGCCTTTTTATTTTAGCTCCTCAAGCTTTCTTTGCATGCCTTAGCAAAAGTTCAGTCTTCTTCTACAAATGCTTCCAAACAGCAAGACGAGTTTCAACATTCTCTCATGGCTCCACCGTGGGTTCAAGAGCTCCAAATTCCTCACATAGACATCCCCATCACTATTGACCGTATGGTTCCAATCATGCCGGCAGGCCCTATTCCTGCTGCCGATGGCGATTCCCTTTACCTATCTAACCTCGACGATGTCATCGGAGCCCGTGTTTTCACTCCAACTGTCTACTTTTACCAGTTGGACAGCTTCAACTCCAGCGTGCCTGTAATGGAAATGCTTGGAGAAGCACTTTCCCTTGTTTTGGTTCCTTATTACCCTTTTTCAGGCAGGCTCAGAGAAACCAAAAATGGGAAGGTGGAAGTGTTCTTTGGACCAGAACAAGGAGCTCTAATGGTAGAAGCTCACTCTGAAATAACATTGGACAGTTTAGGAAACATAACGGTTCCAAATCCGGCATGGGAATCATTGATCTTCAAGTTCCCAAATGAGGAACCATACAAAGTACTCGAGATGCCATTGCTCATAGCACAAGTGACCCTTTTCAAATGCGGGGGGTTCAGCTTAGGCTTGAGGCTCTGCCATTGCATCTGTGACGGCCTCGGCGCGATGCAGTTCCTCAGCGCCTGGGCTGCCACGGCTAAATCAGGAACACTGACAACCAACCCACACCCCTGTTGGGAACGAGAGTTTTTCAAGCCTCGTGACCCACCAATTGTGAAATTCCCCCACGTCGAGTTCATGAAAATTGACGATGGCTCGAGCTTGACGATGTCCCTCTGGAAATCAAAACCCGTTCAAAGATGTTACCGTATCAGCCGCGAGTTCCAACTCTGGCTGAAATTCCACGCCCAACCAGACGACATGTCGGCTTGCTCGACCTTCGACGCCATGGCCGCTCATATTTGGAGGTCATGGGTAGAGGCGCTCGATGTAAAACCAGTGGATTACACACTCCGGCTAACGTTTTCAGTGAATGCTCGACAGAAACTGAAAAACCCCCCATTGAAGAACGGGTTCTACGGCAATGTGCTCTGTCTCCCCTGCGTCACGAGCACCGTATCGGAGCTTGTGAATGACAATCTCTCGAAGACGACCCGATTGGTCCGTGAGGCAAGGAACGGCGTGTCGGAGGAATATGTGAAATCGACGGTAGATTACATTGAAGTAGATAGGCCGAGAAGATTGGAATTTGGAGGGAAATTGACGATCACGCAGTGGACTAGGTTTTCGATCTATGAATCTGCGGATTTTGGATGGGGACGGCCAGTATATGCCGGCCCGATCGATCTGTCTCCAACGCCGCAGGTTTGTGTGTTCTTGCCGGAAGGGGCGACGGAATCAAACGGCTCAATGCTGGTCTGCATTTGCTTGCCGGAAAATGCTACCCAGAAATTCACAGAGTTGTTGTGTAGGGTGATGATGGATTAAGATTTAGAGTCTAATCGAACTATTGAGATGTATTGTAATACTCCATATTTGTGATTCCGTCTCGTTCCAAATCATGGTTCGAATTCTTATAACTGTTTTTTTTTTTTTTTAATTTCTTTTAGATCCACCTCTTTTTGGTTAAATGAAAGCACATTTAAATGACAATAATTTAAATGAAAATGTCTCTCAGGCTCAACATTTGGTTGATATAATGTCATCCCAGAGCTATTTTAGAGATATTTAGTAATAAATTATAATTTAACATATATATTATATTTGATATTTTATTATAAGTAAAATATCTAATATTTACCTCATTAGCATAAATATCTTTACTTGTTTTCATTTATTACTATTTTCATATCTTTGTAATTTATTTTAGATGTGGTGAATTAATCAAACATTGTTAAAAATCATGTGAACCAGCGCTAGCAAATCGTTTACTGCGGCCGTGGTTTATGAGGCAAACCGAGAAACCATGTCATGAAAAGAGTCCAACAAAAGTGGCGTAATAGCAATTACAAAATATAGTGAGTGAGAGTTGATATTGAGGACAAATTATTTGAATTTAATTTTGAAAATTTGAATGGTTTCCCAATTAAACCGCTCTTTAATAATTTCGTGAGATCTGTAATGAGCGTTAAAAAATTAAAATGAGAGTACGAAATTGGCGCTATAAGAAGGCATTAATTACGAGACAGCCATTTTACAACTGGCAGTTGACACGTGTGAAACATAGGCGGCATTGCACATTTTGACCGCAAAAAAGATTCGAGTGGGTTTTGAGGTGTTGCTGCGAAGGATATAATGAACCCGAAAGGAGACCAATTGCACTTTTGATTCCTCAATACCTCTTTTTGTTTGCCCACCAATACTTTTCTAATTTCTCTCTACTTATTTATTTATTTATTTATTTGTAATTCAATAATATTACATACATACGTAATAATACCGTCCTAATAATTATTTTTTATGTTCACACTATAATCTTTTTTTCAATATAATTAGATCCTAAATGATTTTTAAAAGATATAAATGTGAGATTGAAATAAAGCAAGTACAGTTGAGCTACCCATTCTTTTAGTTACTTACTCTATTTATTTTTGTCTGTTGATGAAGATTGGATTCTCATATTGGTCTATTTCTTGTTGCCAACAAATTTCATTCACTTGGTCATAACCAAAATATAAAACTCAATTTCAACTATATATATATATATATATTGTTTTTTAAGAATAGTCATTTTTTAAATATAAATTATTGATTTTAAAAACAAAGTTTGATGACATAATTTTTAAATTGAAAAAAAAAACACCACCCATAAACTAAATTAATAGTTGAATCAACAATAATAACGATGAATCTGACATCAACTTAAGTTAGGATTAAAATATAAAATTTACATACAATCCATCATTGATTCTCTAAACTTTAACCGTGTATCATAGGGAATTTTATTTTTTACCACCTCTACGACCCTCAAATTTACTGTTTTACCTAGTCGACTCAACATCATACACTCAAGTAACAAATTGAAAGACTTATTGAAACCAAAATAATAATAAAAAAATACATTTCTTTTAATATTTAGGGGAAAGACAAATAGAATTATTGAAAACAGAGGACTAATTTCGTAATTTAATTTAAAATTAAGAAAAGAAGAGGATGATTCTGGAAGGGACTGGTTTGAAAGAAAGCAGAAAAATGAAAATGCCGGGTAGGGCAAAATCGTAATTGCGGTATTAGAAGTGGGAATCGAGGGTAGAAATGTATCTTATTTATTTTGGAGGCTCCAAAATACATTCCTCACCACTAACACCCACAGTTGGCCTCAACGCTCCGCCCTCTCTCCTTCTCCATGTTTTCCCTTTTCCTTTCGTTCTTTATTTTCCATTTTGAAACGAGCTAAATAAAAACAACTAACTCAATAAATTTCCCAACGCCGAACACGAAGAATCATCAAATCCAACTACAGCAAACCCTACGATCCGCGGCGAATAAGGAGGGATCTGCATTCCAACTTCCTGCATTACTCCTTTTTCCTTGTCGTCTTTTCGCCAGAGGATTTTTGACATCCTTCTGCTTCTCTTTTCTTCCGACGGTCAAGGTACGGGTGCCGTAGTTTTCTTCTCTTTTGGTTTTTATCTCTTTCTTGTCTGATCTGGAAGTTGAGAGAATGACGGAGCTGGGCTGCTTTTGCCGTGTTTAGTGTTTGACGAATTAATCGTTTGAGATCTGTATTTGAAGGTTTTGTTTTAGTTGTTTTGTTTATCGTTCTTTGTTTTCTGGGCCACGGAGCGTGTTTTTTGAAGTCTGGACGTCTATTTTATTATTGCTGTTACGTACGGTTTATTTCTCTCGACGGAATTTTGCGTTATTCCTGGTTTATGGTTTTTCTATGGTTTTATTGGATGCTTATTTTGATTCCCGTTTCGGATCTTGCGTTTATTTAGCTCTGTGGTTCCACGTTTGGGACGAGATCTGTTTTCTCTTCTACTGTAGATTTATGAAAGGTTTCTTCTGATCTCGCTATGAGCGTGCAAGTGGATGGTTCTCTTTTCAGCTCATGCATTCATTGATTCTTGGTGCGATTTTTTCTGCAATAAATTGTTGTCATTTTCGCTCTTTCTGCTCTTTTTTTCTTTCTTGTCTTTGTATGTTATACGTGGAAATACTCCCAGTGTCTCTTGATGATCTTGGATTAGTTTTTTGTTTCGCTCAATCTTGCTATGCTTCACGGACTTTTTTTTTTTTTTTTTTTTTTGACAAAGTTTTGCAAATTGTCTATTTTAATTTATCGCGTAGATTCATGTTTTATATTCCGGTTCCCCGAATCTCTGTTTTCAAATGCCTTTCTAGTTCGTTTTAGGTCCAATCTTTTGATGTGTACGGGTTCACTTCTGTGGACACTCCTCGCTTTTCCTTCTGTGATTATTCACTGAATCTTACCTCGTACGCGATTTTGTTCACTTTCGTAATTATTGTACACGAATTTAATGTATATTTTTATGCTTCTAGAGAAAGAGGAAGTTCGTTTATTACATGTATGACCAAATATTGATGATTCCTATATCAACTTCATGAAGCATTCTGAATGAATGGATACTAAATGACATGTAGTTGCATATAGGTTGCTAATGTATGTTTCCCCAAGAACTCAGCCATCTTTCATGTCCTTAGGCTTCTGTTGATAGAGGGAAATTCGTTGGAACGAGTCTCTGGTTGGCACATTACAACCGTTTTCTGGTAGAAAGTTCGACATGGTTGCCACTGCAGCTACTTCTGCCTTTTTTCCTGCTATTTCTCTGTCCTCGGACTCTGGAGCAAAGTCAACTAAGTTCGGCAGTGGTTCTGTCAATCCTGGAGGAAGCAGGCCAAAATCTTCTTCCCGTGGTTTGCAAGTTAAGGTTAATGCCCAAGCTCCTTCAAAGATAAATGGTACTTCCGTTGGATTGGAGGGTGTCAAGCTGGAGGATGGCTTGACATCACCTCCTCCAAGGACTTTCATAAACGTACTTCCTGACTGGAGCATGCTTCTTGCTGCTATCACTACCATCTTCCTGGCGGCTGAGAAGCAGTGGATGATGCTCGACTGGAAACCTAGGCGGCCTGACATGCTTATCGATTCGTTTGGTTTGGGAAGAATTGTGCAGGATGGTCTCGTGTTTCGGCAGAACTTTTCAATTAGATCATATGAAATTGGTGCAGATCGGACTGCATCTATAGAAACATTAATGAATCATTTACAGGTACATGATTGATCATTCTGTTTCTTTCTTGTTGGATATTAATTCTTATGCTGTTTATCTGTGGTAAATTTTAAAAAATTTGGTTGCTCTTGTCGGTCAAATGCACTATAGGTTGATAATTCTTCTATATCTTCATTATTTGGAAACAGTGAGATGATATCTTGTTCTTTTATACAGGAAACTGCACTTAATCATGTAAAAACTGCTGGACTACTTGGTGATGGATTTGGTTCTACACCAGAAATGTGTAAAAAAAACTTGATATGGGTAGTTGCAAAGATGCAGGTTGTGGTAGATAGATACCCTACTTGGTAAGTTGCCGTATGTTTCTTTTATATATGTGTGTATATATCCTAGAAAAGCAAAATAATTTGCAGCTGCTAACATTTATTCATTTCTGCAGTAGCATTATCTTTCCATTGATCATGTAGGATGAATGATTTAGATGTTTGACTTCTATGGATTTTCATATTTTCAGGAAATGTAGACTACAGCTAGTTATGTCTTTTAGGTTGTCTATTTTAAAAGTGCTTCTGTAATTTTAATTAGAAATGTGTTCTGATATCTGGAAAACTTCACCTCTCATGGTTATGGTACTATATGTGTAATTAAATAGTTCTTGCGAATTATTTATAGGTTAAAGTTGAGGACTGAATCATTCCCCCCCCCCCCCCCCCCCCCCCCCCCCCCCCCCCCCCCCCCCCCCCCCCCCCCCCCNTGCATCTGGGAAGAATGGCATGCGACGAGATTGGCTTGTTCGTGATTGCAAAACTGGTGAAACTCTTACTATGGCCTCAAGGTATAGGTTTCCGCTGCCAGCAAGTAATCGGTGTTTTTTCTTTCCCTCTCCTCAATTCCCCTGGTAATTATTCCACCGCTTGATCATAACTGCCTTTCTAATAACTGTGTGGGGTTGTTTTTCTTTTCCTGTCCAATGACAGTGTCTGGGTGATGATGAATAAGCAGACAAGAAAATTATCAAAGATTCCTGGGGAAGTTAGAGGGGAAATAGAGCCTTATTTTGCAAATTCACCTCCCATAGTGGAAGAAGATGGCAGGAAACTTACCAAACTTGATGATGATAGTGCTGATTATATACGTACAGGTTTGACGGTAAGTTATACTCCCTTTTGGTTAAATATATTTACTAGTTGGCTTCCTCGTTTCATTCTTGTGAGTGACATATATTTCGAATTGCAGCCTAGATGGAGCGATTTAGATGTCAACCAGCATGTTAATAATGTGAAGTACATTGGCTGGGTACTCGAGGTAGTTTCTCTTTTCAAAATGAGTCTTGGTTTCTCCTTTATCCGAACATGTCTCTGACCAAAAGATTTGGTACTCACAGAGTGCACCTCTGCCAATCCTGGAGAGTCACGAACTCTCTACCATGACTTTGGAATACAGGAGAGAATGTGGAAGGGACAGCGTGCTGCAATCCCTTACTGCTGTGTCTGGTGCTGGTATCAGCAATTTGGCCGATGCCGGTGACATTGAGTGCCACCACTTGCTTCGACTTGAAAATGGAGCTGAGATTGTTAGAGGAAGGACTGAGTGGAGGCCCAAACATGCGACAAACTTCGGGATGGTGGGTCAGATTCCAGCCGGAAATACTTAAAAAAAGAAATTCAATTGGAGAAGCTACCTCGTAGCTGGAGTCGTCTCTGGTTGTGGCCCACCACCTTGTGCATTCACTGCTTGTGTTTTAGAGGTTCTGCTTCCGTTTTTTCTTCTCGGATTTGAGAAATCCCCATATAAATATAAGATATATCTATATATATATATATATATATGTTTCCGGCCCTTCCCTAAACCATCTGTTTCCATGGAAGAAAAAAGACCAAAAAAACATGCCAGTCCGTCTCATTGTAATTATTCATTCTTTTATTGTCCCCATTCTCTCAATTGTCCCAACGGAAAGGTAAAATATACTTTTAACACATCTATTTAATGTTTTGCTCTTAGGCTCTTCGCTCCGCTGACTGTACCTGCGTTTTACTTATTTGTGATTGCCATCATTGAATCAGACTTAAACTGTGAAATGTCTACCTTATTTTCAATTGTTAATTCATTTTATTTTGTACTGATTGATCCTTAATTCTTCTTTGCCAGCCTGGTTTATAATTGAGGAAGAAAGTTTCTGTAGCATGATGTGACGAGTTTTCGTTTTATTGGTCGTTTTTGCAGCCCGGCTTCATAGCTGGACCAACCAACTAACAGGTTGCCGCCTCCACGTTCTGTAATGGCCCTACCTTGGTCTTTCTCTTGTTTTTGGAAAGCAAATAACGTAAACTAACCTTATCTAAACGAATGACCAATAATAGAGAACATAGAATCTGGTTTCAAGTAATGCAAGAATGTCTCGCTATTTTAGTTCAACTTATCTAAATGAATGACACTTAAACTTAACATTGAAACCTTTGAAATAATATAGACATTTGGAAACAAATACCAAACCTTAGAGATATATAGTACTTATAATTTAGGCAAGGTAAAGTGGTTGATCAGCAAAACCAAGTACATGAACTGCGTGACTATACTAAATTAATCAAGTAATTAATTGTGTATGTGAAAATGCAAGCACATTCAATGAAGCTTCTTAGCAACTACAACAAAAATGTAATACTAAATGCAATGTATTTTGTCACAAACTTGGTTCAATTTGAGACATATGCGAAACATCACGAAATTAAAAGTTGTCTTCAACATAATTATGGTTATGTATTGATTGTTGGGACGGGAGATGACCCATTACAGCTTTGTTCTAATATACTTTACTTAGTTTAGGTACAAATTCAAGACATTTAAGGAACACATTTAAAGCTAATTTTAACAGAAACAAAATTTATTTTTTAAAAAATCATTATAAATTAAGTTTGTATAATTTAATGAAAATAATGATAATAAAAGGAATGATGGATGGTTGGACAAGGTGTCGACAAAGTGAAAGGCTTCCCGATGTTTCTGTCTCCCGAAAGACCTTCGGGAGTCAATCAGTGTGTCCATTGACTTTTTTTAGTAACACTCTGTGGGACCCACCTAGTTAACTTTTGTGCCACCTCATCCACTTCCGTCAAATTGGTCTTATCGTATTCCCAAAGTGCCTTCCCCTCCTTTGTCTCAATCTCAAAATGTGATTGAAAGATGCAAGAACACGAAATCTTTAGGAAAAAAAGTTGAAACATTATATTATAATAATAATAATAATAATAATAATAATAATAATTTCCTAAGTTGAAAGATTCAAGAATACGACAACAACTTAGAAATAATTTCCTAAGTTGAGATGAGAAAAGCATAGACAATACCAATTAATTTTGCTGTGAAATTTACGTAAAGGAATAAAGGGCATTTAGATTGAATGTACCGACAATCACCTCCCTAATTTCAATTCTGCTTCTCTCATGGCAACTCTTGGCCATGCCCCTACGTGTCGTCTTCTCACTTGCTCCTTTGCTTCTATATATATGAAACCCATTCGTGGTTCATTCATTATTCACTACCAAACAGAGACAGAGACAGACAACAGAGTGTGTAGCTATGCCGTTGGCGGAGACAGTTCTAGAGTCGCCGGAATCTGATTTGACCCATATCAATTTCGATGAAACTGAGCTCACCTTGGGGCTTCCCGGAGCCGAGTTCCGCCCAACTCAGCCAAACAAGGTGTATCACAAACCTAATGCTAATAGACGCGCTTTCCATGACGCTGTTGATGCCGGCGCCGGGAACTCCACAAGTAATTGAATTTCTTTTACGGCCATCTATTATTAATGTTATGGTTCCTTATTAAGCTCTTATACGTTGATAATATATGGAATGTTTTGAATTTTAAGGGAAAAAGCCGGCAGCCATGGGTTGGCCGCCGGTGAGATCATACAGAAAAAAGACAACAGAAATGAACTATAAGTACGTTAAAGTTGCTGCAGATGGGGCGCCGTATTTGCGTAAGCTCGACCTTCAGATGTTCAATGGCTATCACCAACTGTTCAAGGCATTCCAGGAATTGCTCCCCTCCTATCCAATATGTTGTGAGTCCATCCACTTTAGTATCTTATTCATCCAACTATTCTCAGATTGATATTGAAATTGAATAATGTTTTAATCGATTACTTGGAGGAAGGCAACAATTTGAACCCAGTGAAGAGAGCATATGAATACTTTCCAACTTACGAAGATAAAGATGGAGATTGGATGTTAGTTGGAGACGTCCCTTGGAAGTAAGTTTAATTAATTATCTTCCCCATAACTTCTCTTTTAGTTTGGATTCTAATCGTATTGCAAATTGTGCAGATTGTTCATTGAATCTTGCAAACGTATTCGTTTGATGAAAGGCTCAGATGGCAATGGCAATGGCATAGGTTTTCTTCCCTTCATTTGTTCCATTTTTATTATCCAAATTAACAAAGGGACATGCCATTGTTAACTTCTGAGTTTGTTTTTCACTTTTATGCAGCTCCCAGAGTCCCATAGAAAGGAGGAAGGTCAAGGCTTTGGATGGCCAGTTTTTTCATTTTTAATTCGTTAAACTTGGGTTGAGAATATGATCGTAGTTATGGGCTTGCTTGAATGCGATTAGGCCTTAAGATGTTGTATAGTTGTTAACTTGATCACAGGTGGAGTGATCAAATACTAATGGGTCATTGGTCATGTTCAAACTCTTCCTCTTATCTGCCAAGTAATAATAAGAACTCAGGTTATCGAATAAATCAACAACAGACAATGTTAGGATACCATTTTGGTTGGACAAGAGAGCTCGTTGAATTCGTTACTGCCAGACTTTGACACAGCTATCATTTGATGCAGCCAATGCTGATCCCAGCTTGTCATGAGCAAGCAGAGTCCTTGTCTTGTTTTCTGTCATGTCCCAAAGCTCCGGTGACTGGAAACCAACAATTCCATTTAGAACATAGCAATACATATAAATCACAGAACTTAAAACACAGAAACATTAAATAATAGCATGTGAAGGAACTTGGAATAGCTGAGACTAACCTCATGAGAGGCAATGATCAAAAGAGAAGTATTGGTGGGATGAAGAACATGGGCACGAAATGTGTTTCCATTACAATTCAACTTATGAACGCACTCTCCTTCGTTACTATGGGATCTCACAATCCACTCCCCTTCAGGGCCCAGCGTCCTCGCCGGCACTCGTTCCTTTCTCCAATCGATGTGGGATCTTACAGTCCACTCATGAAACACTCGATTTCACACAATGAATGTGAAGTGCAAGTTGATTGTAACATCACAGTTTAGCTGGCATAGTAATATCAAAACCTATCTCAATCAAAAGTTGATGTATATACACTATTTCACACACAAATTGTGTCATAACTCTATTATGACTCAATACTTGAACATGAAACCACACTTTGTTTCTTACTCTTCCACAACATCAAATTGCCTCCTACAAGAACACTATCCACAAGTTGGTCTGCTATCAGCATTTGAAAAACATTCAAGTTTTGTATGGTCTTATACAATTTCATGTCGAAGTGCACCTTTTAGGCAGCATAGAATTTGAACGTGTTACACTGTAACCCAATGATCTATTGAAGGTGAAAGCATATACTAACTTACAACAAGCGATGTCTAGCTATGTCACTATCAAATAATTCAACTTTCTAACCAATCTTCAATATCACTCAATGTCTTTAAAGGATTCTCCCAAAGCACTTCATAATAATAATAATAATAATAATAATAATAATATATTGTATAATGAATTAAACCCATGTGATGAAAGCAGGTTTTACTTACATTATCAACATCCCAAACCTTGACAGTCCTGTCACCTGAAGATGTTGCAATCTTTAATGTCCTTGGACTAACGCAAACATCAGTTATCCATTGTGAATGTTCAACAAGTGTAGACTTCACTGTAAACGACTTTGTGCAACACACTGTAGCCTGCACCAAAAATTTGTTCACAAAACGTCCTCGAATCTAAAACATACTTACATATATTGATAAAGTAGCATACTTGACAAATAATCAAGAACACTAGAAGTTTAACCTGTAAAGGCATTTACAATTTTGATAAGCCAATCAATATTAACGTGTTGTACCAAACAACATTCAACTTCATTTGAACATGAAGGCAAATTTTCCTTAAGACTACTTTTTTCAATCATCTGATCATCGGATAGGTCTCACAACATTTATTTACATAGTCAACATTGAATCCCTCAACATACAATCATACCATGACAAAAATATGTTCTCAAGTTTATTTTGCAAAAAAAAAAAAAAGACTAATAAGTTCATGTATGATAGGTCTCGAATTGAACTTCTTATTATAAGATAGATGATGAAAATTCTAAGAATCCATGTTGTTCTTGTACGAGAGCAAAGAAAATTTCTTCATAACATTAATAATCAACACTTTCAGGCGAATTCAATCGCAATTACTCATACAAATTCATCCAAATATGTTTTCCCAGATCAGACAATATCATCACCATTGATGAACTGTATACATTTCCTAGAAAATTCAAGTAGTTCAAAGCTTCATAACTCTGACCTTAGCCTATAATCATGGTTCCGGCTCCATTGTCAGTCATGATCTCTAGCAGCAACGAATGCTCCAGCCTCCCGTCAATGATACTCGCCGTCCTCACCCCTTGAGCCAACGATCGGACACAACAATTCACCTTTGGAATCATCCCTCCGCCGATTCTTCCCTCTTCCATCATCTTCTTCACCCCTTTAATGTCTATCTGCTTCACTAAGCTTTTCGGATCGTCACGGTCTTCCAGAATCCCCGCCACATCCGTCAGTAAGATCAGCTTCTCCGCCCCCAGCGCCGCCGCTAATTCTCCGGCAACTGTATCCGCGTTGATATTGTACATCTGCCCCGACTCATCGGCAGCCACCGAAGAAACCACCGGAATGTGGCCTTTGTCCAGAAGTGCCTGTAGAACCGTAGGATCCACACGTGCAACCTCGCCTACAAATCCTAACTGTGCCGCGTTCGGGGCTGGACGAGCCGTCAGTAGCCGCCCATCCACACCGCAGAGCCCTGCAGCCGATGCTCCGGCCTTATTGATCAACGAAACCAGGTTCTTATTCACGTCGCCGACCAACACCATCGACACTATTTTCATCGTTTCGGCGTCGGTCACACGAAGACCGTCGCGGAAAACGACCTCAATGTTGAGCCGTTTGAGCCAGTTGTTGATTTCCGGCCCGCCGCCATGGACCAAGATCGGACGAAGGCCGACGCAGGACAGAAGTACAAGATCATTAACAACCGAAGCCTGGAGCGACAGCGATTTCATAGCGGCCCCACCGTACTTCACAACAATCGTTTTACCTCGAAATTTCTGTATGAATGGCAGTGATTCCGAGAGAACATCTACTCGGAACTGCTCTGGACTTACAGAATCAACCACAGCCTCCATTTGGTGAGTTGCCGAGCACCTAATCGACAGCGACGACGGAGAACTTATTCTGCGCAATCGCGGAGCGGGCGAGAAAATGGAGGAACTGGAAATGGAAGGATTGAACAAGGATTTGGAGGAAAATAGGTTGAAGGCGGATGGATTGAGCAAGCTTTCGATCTTCGGCATTTTAATCAGACTGGCGAGAGAGAATGAGCGGCGGAAGGAGGCGGCGATTTGATCAGAGAATTTCGAAAGGATAATTAGGGCTTAAAGAGCGAGAAGGAACCCAGTAATAAAACAGAGAAAGTTTATAACAATTTCACGTATCTGGTCTGATCTCTTCACGCATTCTCTCTGTATCTCTCACACGAGCAAATGGACTGGTCTCTTCACGCATTTCTTCTCCTCATTTCAATCTCATCGAACACTGTATTCAATAGAGATGAACAGTTTCTTTTCCAGAGAATTCAAGGAAAAATGGAAGGATTGTTAAAGCATTCAAAGATCGAAATTTTATTACTACAACTCTCAACACAAATAAATGGGCCATGGCACTGATCAAATCCAAAAACTGTGTCATCATTTTCAAACAAATCGATACAAGTAAGCTAGCAAATATCTAGAACTTGAACTACTTCTTCTTCCTTTTTCATTCTTGGAAATCATCTTTGTCGTCGGCCGGAATTGGCATGTTCCTCCAGAAGACTGCAAGAGCACTGCCACCAAGCTGTTGAGATGATAGCAAATGAGCATCATAAATGTTTGAACACAAGTTTCTTAACAAATGGATCCATGGGGTAAGGAGGAAAACAAAGAACAGAGCAGATAAACAGAGGGGAAACTCTTACCGCCATACAAACGACGCTAACTGCCGATGGAACGGCGACGAGGGGGTTTGTGAAATGCTTTTGAGCAAGTAAAAACCCGAGTGCAGAGCTCTGCAAATAATGACATGTTGCAAATCAAAACCATAGAATAGCATTTCTAGAAAAACTCTCTGCAATTGTTACCTGCATCCCACATTCTATTGAAATCGTGCGGGAGGTGGATTCTCCAAATGATATTTTTGAAAGCCAATAACCCAGAGCAAATGCAGCACCATGGAGGACGGCTACTGGGAGCAATAGCTGCGCTCCTTGAGTTTTCAAAACTTCTGCTACTTGCCCGATCTTCATCATCAGAAACATTGACGAAAGGACATTACTACAATGAAACAGTGTAAACTCAATCTCTTACACTGCATAATACTTTTGAAACTTACAGGGCTGGCACACAGGAGAGTTGTGAGGATAACTCCAATTAAAGGTGTCACTGTGATTATCTTTGCAGTGAATTTGGGGAAGAATTCATTAGCTAAAACTGCATATAAGAGTAATGATGGTTCAGGATGATTAACTCTTGAGGGGAATTTTTGTTATGAACTTACCTCCAATTACAGTTGGAACCAAGACCACCTGAAAAGTGCTGATAGCAAGACCCTGAAAGAATAACAATCAAAATAATGACAACTTTCGCCCAAAATAATTGAAGGGTCCGATCAGGGAACTCTGAACTCATAAATGGCTACAGGATCATATGATATATGAAACATTTAAGCCTCAGTCCAGCCCAAGTCTACCCTAGCAGATATTGTCCGTTTTGGCTCGTTACGTATTGATGTCGGCCTAATAGTTTTAAAACACGTTCTTAGGGAGAGGTTTCCACACTCTTATAAGAAATGTTTCATTCTTCTCTCCAACTCCAACCGATGTTAGATCTCACAATCCACCCTCTTAGGAGCCCAGCATCCTCGCTGTCGCACTGCTCGGTGTCTGACTCTGATACCATTTATAACAACCCAAGCACCACTAGTAGATATTGTCCGCATTGGCCCGTTACGTATCGCTGTCAACCTAGCGGTTTTAAAACGCGTCTTTTAGGAGAGGTTTCCACACTTTTATAAAGAATGTTTCATTCTCCTCTTCAACCGATGTGTGATCTCATAGTTATTATTACCGAGATTTAATCTAAAGATCATCAGTCTAAGACGATCGAAAACCTCAACGAATGTATACTTGGAAAGGTTAGCTTATCTGAACTTACAGCAGCATCAACTGGGACTAGTTGGCCAGCAAGAAGCTTGGTAAGCAATGGCGTCATGACAATAGCACCAATAGTTGAACACCTGTATAAATTCCAGTTAGTAGGGACAACCATAGGCAGACAAAAATCAAACTGTTATGCAAACTGAGGACAGGACAGGAGCATCTTATGATCCAAACTGGTCATACGTTGTCATAAGAACCGAAAGTGCGACATTTCCTTTAGATATATAAGTAGCAACATTGGATGCCTGTCCCCCAGGGCAGCATGAGACCAAAATAAGACCAGTTGCAAGAGGTGCAGACAGTTTGAGAGTCTGAAACACACATAAATTGGTTGTTATCTTTGCCTGTTCTATCATTTCAGCATAATATTGAGCTATAACATTTCATCATAGTTATTACCATGGAGATAGTAAAGCCAAGCAGAGGTTTAATTAAGTACTGGGCAAGAAATCCTACACCTACCTGCACCAGGAAAATAGATGCTAAATAACACAACTACGTAAGTACATCCATTTGGTTAGTAGAAGGATGTCTCTTACAGTCCATGGATTTCTCAAACAACGCCTGAAATCCTCAAATGTCAATGTCAATCCCATCGAAAGCATAAGAAAACCCAATCCCAGGGTAAAAAGATCAGTCTCCAACCAAGTTACCTGCAAGGGGAGGCTGATGAGTACCAGTAGATTCACCAATCATCAATCAAGAAGAACCAAGAATGAGCAATTACTGCAGCAGGTTTGTAGATGCCGATAATGGTTCCAAGGATAACCTGTTCATAGGTGGCAAACTCAGGAATTAAAAGGCAAAGCTCCAGAACACAAATGCACTAAATCCAGATTCACAAAAACAGAACTAATAAGCATTACCCACAGAGGAAAAAGTGTGGTTAAAGTTTCAATAGTTCTTTCGTACAGACTCATTCCACTTGGAGAATTACCATCAGGGATATCTCCAGAGACATCATTTGCAGCTTTGCACAGAATTTGGAGCTTCCTGAGTTGATAGTTCAATATGTGTTATTATAAGGTACAGTCTCCAATCTAACTAAATCTATGAACGTAACCAATAAGCATGAGGAAGAACAAGTAAGTCTAAATATAAGGGGGAATGAACTTTCATGAAAGGAATTCTAGACAATATGAAGCAATAGTCACATGTTTAACATCATACCTTGAGGTGATTGCAGAAGGAGAGCCAGAAAAAACGATCGGCTTAAGCAGCTTGCACTGAGATACTAAACTTCTTGCATTGTGAGATGAACATAATTTTCCCCTTATGTCTAAAGACAAAAAGAAGCAAAAATTTAAGCCGTGTCTTCATGAAACTTGAAAATAGAAGCAAAAATCAGAGCGCCCGGATAGAGAGTGACCCTAAAGTAGAGAACTAAAACATACACAGATGGTCTGTAGGCTTCTTCGCGGAAAAATCGTAGGTTTGCCTGTAGGGAGCATCAAATTTGTGTGTTCTACAATCTGTGTACTCGAATTTGGAAAATGACGCCATTATAGCTGCAGTTGAAATTGCAGAATGGGAGCGGAATCGAAGTAGAAAATGAATTCTTGCCCAATATGGAAAGAAGATTGAAGATAACGTCTTCGATGTGAGAATCGATAAACCACAACTTTTTTGTTGTTTTATCGTAAAATTATAAACTTACAGTTTCACAGTTATTATTTTTTGAAGAAATAATGTGTTAAAATTGATGAATTTCAAGAAAATTCCCGTGGAAATACATTAATTTTCAATCGAAAATTCATAAACATTGGCCTAATTTGATGATTTCCAGAAAAGCAAAATTTTTAAAATAAATTATTTATTTATTAATAGTTTGTTATGATTAATGTAAACAAAACATGATCTCAAATATTTTTTAATTCGACAGAAATCTCATTAAAAAAAAAAAAAAAAAAAAACATATGTTTATCGGAAATGGAGATAATGAAACGGCGAAAAAGGGAGTGGGGACCACTTTAATGTGGGGCCCCTTCCTTAGCCCCACCGAAAAATGGATGTCAGAAGTCGGAAGTTTCTTCGTCAGAATTTACGATTTTTTAAGCATTAAATTAAACCATTCGTGGTTCTTCAAAGTTTTGAGCGTCAATGGGTTGGGCCACATTGGGCTTACGAGCAGGCCCAAAGTTCCATTTATGGGCCGAGTTCCAATAGCTTCTTTGGAAGTACTCGTGGGGGGGTGGGCCGTAGGTGTTCCCTGTCGCTTTCAGACGACACAGAGTCTGGGTTGACAATGACCAAAATAGGTTTTGAATTTGCATGCTATCAATTTATAAACTTATGCCCTACTACATTAATTTAATATGATCTACAAATATGCTTATTTTAATATCTTCACGTATTTATTTCTTACTTAATACACATCTATTTATGTTTATTAATTAACCCCTCATTATTTTGTAAGGTTAAATGGCAAATTATAAATAAATGAATTAATTTTAAAAAACCAAAAACAAAACAACTTAGCCGACCCTCAAAGTAGGACGGCGGTAGGATTGTTAAATAATTAAAAATAATAACAACTTTTTATTTAAAGAATTAACCGTAGAAATAGAGTATTTAAGAGTTTGGAGACCCAGACCAAACTGCTCAGATTTAAATCTTGTTGCTACTATTTTATTTTTTAAATTTATTATAATTAATTTCTCTCATTATACCCAAAAATGTCTTTAGTTCTTAATAATATTAATTAAATAAACAACCACTTTAATGCAGCCCATTGTGATGTAATATTATTTTAATTATTCCTATGATTCTTGAAAATATCTCCATTCTATTGGCTGTATGAACCATAACACCACGGAATGGAAGCAATGTTTCTTGATACAATGATTATCCTTTTCTTTTTTTATTACAAAAATGATTCATATTTGTTTTCATACCATGACATATAAACTGACTATATATTTTAATTAATTAACTGCAATTAATATTTTTAATACTTCAAGGAGTGTCAATATCATATCAATTTTTAATTTAATATCCAACCGAATGATTTTATACTTATAAAACTATAGTTTTAAAAGGTCAATATTATAAATTTAAAAAGAATATAGTTATTTTTAAAAAATAAATAATTTAGCCTCAATATTATTAAATATAATAAATTAAAGAAAATTTAAAAACTAATTAAAGGAGGGCATAATAATGGTAATATTGTTAAGATAAGGATTATGGTTTAACCACGACGATAATAATCATAATAATAAAAGATAATTATTATTCTGTCCTATATTTATGTAAGATAACCATTCTTGAACTAAAAACATGTTGAGAGTTGAATATTTAAACAGATTTGTAGCTTAATATATATTTTTTAATTAATAATAAGATGATGTAATAAAAGAAAAAATTCCTTCAGCCTGCAGCGCCTGCTTCTGGTTATCATCCACCTTTTCCACTTTTTGTTAGCTTTACAGCTCCGCTCCGTTCACCTTCCTCTTCCTCACTCTCACTCTCTATTTCACCCGATTTTTCGTCGTTTCCTTCTTTTTCTTAAATGGGTTATCGCCGGAATCCTGGTTTTGTCTCACCTCACCGTCGCGAACCGCCTCTCAAAACCAGTTTCGTATAGAAGACAAAACAGAACAACTTCCCCATCCTTGTTTTTTCTTCTTCATCATCCTTCCTTTGTCTACTCTCTCACTGTTTTCTAATGGCTGCAGTTTTCCGTTCTAGAAGCCGCATCCCTGTTTTCTTAATTTTACTTCACCTTCTTCTTCTTCTTCATTCAGTTCAATCGGAACCGTCCGCCGACAAGGAAGCACTTCTCGATTTCTTGAACAAAATCCCCCATGAGAATCGCCTTCAATGGAATGCGTCGGCCTCTGCTTGTACTTGGGTTGGAGTTAGCTGTGATGTCAATCAGTCGTTTGTTTTTGCTCTCCGGTTGCCGGGTGTTGGACTTGTCGGCCCCATTCCGGCGAATACTCTCGGCCGCTTGAATAGGCTTCGAGTTCTGAGTCTCCGGTCTAATAGAATCTCTGGGGAGTTGCCAGCGGATTTTTCGAATTTGACATTTCTTCGGAGTCTTTATCTTCAGGATAACGAGCTTTCCGGTGAACTACCGGCGAGTGTGACTCAGTTGACTCGGTTGAATCGTCTCGATCTCTCGTCCAACAATTTCACTGGTTCGATTCCATTTTCGATCAATAACTTGACCCATTTGAGCGGGCTTTTTCTGGAGAATAATGGGTTTACGGGTTCTTTGCCGAGTATTCCTGCGAGTAATTTAACGAGCTTCAATGTCTCGAATAACCAGCTCAATGGATCCATTCCCGAAACCCTTTCGAAATTCTCTTCTGCCTCTTTCGCTGGGAATTTAGCGCTCTGCGGAGGTCCATTGCCGTCATGCAACCCGTTTTTTCCCTCCCCTGCTCCGTCGCCGACGTCCGCCGTGAAACCCCCAGAAATTCCCGTCGAGAAGAAGTCAAAAAAGCTCTCCATCGCTGCCATTGTCGGAATAGTCGTCGGCGCTGCTTTCGTTGCGTTTCTGTTGCTGCTTTTACTCATTTTTTGCCTCCGGAAGCGCCAGAGTCGGCAGCCGGCGAAGCCATCGAGTACGGTGGTTACTGCTCGATCTGTGCCAGCGGAGGCCGGCACATCGTCTTCCAAAGACGACATCACTGGCGGGTCGGTGGAAGCGGAGAAAAACAGATTAGTGTTCTTCGAAGGTGGGGTTTACAGTTTCGGTTTGGAGGATTTGTTGAGGGCTTCCGCGGAGGTTTTGGGAAAAGGAAGTGTCGGAACGTCGTACAAGGCGGTGCTGGAAGAAGGAACCACCGTCGTCGTCAAGAGATTGAAAGATGTCGTAATGACGAAGCAGGAATTCGAAACGCAAATAGAAGCTTTGGGAAATGTAAAACATGAAAATGTGGTTCCTCTCAGAGCTTTCTACTTTTCCAGAGACGAGAAATTACTTGTTTCCGATTACATGGCCGCCGGCAGCCTTTCCGCTTCACTTCACGGTATAATCTCTAATTTCCCTTTCCAAGTTCTTTCTCTTATCATCAATGGGGCCAGAACTTTCCACCGAATTCTAAGTTTTTACATGAACAATCTTTGAACTCTGAATTAAATTCCATTTTCAAGTTATTTCTTGGTCATTTTTCTGGAAAATTCCATTGTTCATAACTACATTAAAGCATTTTCAAATCTCTCATTCTTTTAAGAAAAGGGATTCCCCCCCTCAATTTCATGTGGACGAAAAGTAAAAGCGATGAATACCCATAAGAAACAGAGGCAATTTCTCTTGGGCTTCCCTTGTTATCTGATTTACTTTCGTTTCTTTTAAGAAAAGTTTTTTTTTTTTCTGGGTTCTGTCTCACTGGTGGCTATGGTACCTAGAAAAGTAAAAAGAAAAGGAAAAGAGGGTCTAAATTATTGGCCATTGTGGTGTCCTGAACTTCCGGTGATTCACAGGAAGCAGAGGATCCGGCCGTACGCCACTTAACTGGGACAACCGGATGAAAATCGCGTTACACGCAGCGAGAGGACTGGCTCACTTACACGTGTCGGGAAAACTCGTCCACGGCAACGTCAAATCGTCGAACATCCTCCTCCACCCCAACTACGACGCCGCCGTTTCCGACTACGGCCTCAACCCTCTCTGTGGCGCTACTACGCCGCCGAACCGTATTGCCGGCTACCGCGCGCCGGAGGTTGTCGAAACTCGAAAGGTCACCTTCAAGTCCGATGTGTACAGTTTTGGCGTCTTGCTGTTGGAGCTTTTGACCGGAAAATCCCCAATTCAGGCGTCGTTGGGCGAAGAAGGGATTGATCTTCCCCGGTGGGTCCAATCAGTAGTCCGAGAGGAATGGACAGCGGAGGTTTTTGATGTGGAATTGATGAGGTACCACAATATTGAAGAGGAAATGGTTCAGTTGTTACAAATTGCGATGGCTTGTGTCGCCACAGTGCCGGACCAGCGGCCGTCGATGCAGGAAGTGGTTCGAATGATTGAGGACTTGAACCGTGTAGAGACCGACGACGGCTTACGACCATCATCCGATGACCCGTCAAAAGGATCGGAAGGGCACACGCCGCCGCAGGAGTCCAGAGCCACCCCTCCCGGAATCAGCGGAGCAGTGTAGAAACTGTTTCTGTCCTCTTGTGAAAGCCCTAGATTAGTGCACAGTTGGTAAATAAGCGGTTAGAGTGTGTGGCCGAAGGGTATCCGTCATCGTCGGCGGCGGTGATGAATTTCCGTTCTGGGATAGTTTGGGAATTTCGTTTTAGTTCATTTGAATATTTTTTTTACAGCTGGGAGGAGGATTGGAATTGTTTATTGGGTGAGTGGATTGGAAAGCTTCCATGGTCACATTCAAATTGGCCATATTATGATTTGATTCTCTCTTTTTTCTTTTTTTTTTTTTTTCTAAATTCTATTTCGTATCATTTTTATAGAATCATGGATTGTGAAATTTTTATTTGTCCTTAAATCCCTCGCATACCTTTTAATTGCACCAAATAATCTTAAATAATTAGGGGTATAATAATCTCGGGTCCCGTGCTTATATTACCGTGAATGTCCAAAGTTTCGCTTGTTTTGGATATATAGGATAAAACATAAGGAATATAAAATTTTTAAAAGGAAATAAAGTCAAAAGATCACAGGTGAAATAAGAAAAATAATTCAACCGCAATAGATTTGAAAATCTTTATTTTATACTCTTTAAGAATCATTGCGAAGTACAAAATTGAAGCATTCTTGTAACTCTCCATCTCCATTTGGTGATGCAAAATTCAAATTGCTTTTCGTGAAATAGACGCCACACGTGTGCAAAGAAATATCTTGAAAGATGGAGCGTGCGTGGTGTACATTCAACCAATCAGAAGCAGACATGTGGGGTTGTTGTGTGGATGAATTGCAAGGCGAAGCAAAGGGTTAAGAATTGAGAGATGGCACCCTAAAGTGTGAAGAGGGTTTAGGGTTCGAGAGAATTGTGGTCAGACGCCGATTTGACTTCATACTTTCACTATAAAATCAATACCTTTTCTACTTTACATACCATATATGTATGTATGATGTTTTCACACCATGATCTCATAATTTCCAAAATACAAACATAATATGCCAAGCAATAAATGGGAGTCGGTATGAAATTTTAAATTATATGAGCTAAAATGGAATCACTTAAAAAAAGAAAATACATACCCCCAAATGATACTTTAACCTTTTAGGGTTCATTTAATTATTCCCAAACAGTATAAAGATTTGGGCCATGCGCCATACCATTAGCAATAATTTCAATGAGTAGAGCCACCAAAGATAGAGGAAAAAGGGAAGACCTAAGAATTATAAAAAGGCGATAATATTAGAAGCTAATGAAATAAAGGGGAAGAAGAGCAACCAACAACTAGTTGGTGAAGATTTGATTGCACCTTTTTTTTTTTAATGGAATCCATGCAAAGCCTTAATGATGTTTCTTAAAACACCCTTTTTTTCGGTATTCGACTTCGACTGTTCTCTTTTCAGCTAATTAATTCATGAACAAATCATTTGACTGAATTTGATACACTCCTCTAAATGAACAGTCACAGCCTTTTTAATACTTTACACCATATGGTTTCCGATCCTAACAATTTGAATTGACACTGATTAAAAATTATCAGCAAATAGATAGAGGCTATTCAACTTCCACCAGGTGTAAGAGAGTTCAGAGCATATCTTTAACTCTTAATTGTGTTTAAATAAAGGTTATGCATACATTAATGACACTCACTTTAACTTTATGCAATCAAATCAATGCCCATGTGCATGTAGCAAAGATGAAAGAATCCCACAGAGTTACTACTTCGATGAAAGCAATGTGAATTAGATTGTATAAGAGAGAGAGAGAGAGAGAGAGACATACCGACGAGAGTAAGGAATGTCTTTCTCTAAAGTAGCACGGTCTCCCAGTCTCTGCTGTCGAACAAAATAAGGTGGATAATAATAGCTCGTTGATGCCCACTGAACAATATGTGAAAAGGCGTTGTTCTTCATCATTTCACTTTCCTTGGATAGCACGAATCACCAAAACAAAAGGGTAAGATTTTATTTGGTTGTTACTCGTTACAGCATAGGATGCTTCAAAATTCTTCCATTTCTTCCGGATGCGGATGAGGATGAGTGCATGCCTTCAATTGGAAGTTAGAAATTCAACTAAAACTATAAATACTACAACAAAGCTAAGGAGCATTTGTGTGTTTATGTTGATGATAAAGATTTGTAAATCTCTGTGTACAGAAAAGGAGGAGGGAGAGAGAGGGATAAAGAAAAATCCATTTGGGAATATTGTATAGGTGGTCCGGCACTAAAGATTAGATTACTGATATCAAAACTTGGCTGTTCTTAAAACCTGAGTGTATTAGCCCGACCTGGAATAGTTGAACAAGGAACATGAAAATGAGAACCAGAAAACAGATGTTCACAGGTACTAACCTGACAACAGCAACAACACTGATGTTTTGTGCTGAGATCTTTTCATAGTGCCAGTTCCTGTAATCTGCCGGTGTGATGACAATTCGGGAACTGAAATTTGGTTGCATGTCTCCAATTCTCAAAAACCATACAACCAAGTCCGGTAGGGTGTAATATCTTGGCTGCTTTATAAGAAGAGAAAAACATCCAAATACAGTGCATGGTGAATGAAAGTTAGCAATCTTCATTAACTAAACAAAAAAAAAACATGCAAGCATTTTAGGCCAGAGCTAACTGTTGTATTTGAAGAATTTGATGTGCAAATCTTGACGAGAATATTCCCACACCATATAGAAGTTGCGCAGAAAATAAGTTAAGAACATTCCAACTCATATGGTTGGGTATATTCACAGTAGAGAGCAAGCAAAGTTGGTGTGATTCTAGTAGACAGGCCAATTGCTAATGGTAACTGAACGATATACAGTAAGAGAATCAAATCATTCACGGGCTTTACAAAAGACCAAAAACCTGAGTTTGACGTGAAAGCAACTCGTACAGCTTGCGTACACAAGCCTGCACAACTTGGCACCACTGGTTCTCAGCAATGCAATTCAATATAGAAAATGATAAATGGATTTCTCGAGCACTGCATCATGATGTTTATGAATTCCATAGTTGCTAATCAGCTCAAATTTAGTCCAAGATGAACTCAGATGTGCAATTGGTTAATCTACTTGTTCCTAGATTCTTGTCATAGCTAAAAACAAACCCGAAGGACTCAAATCTCTCACATAACAGGCGCTTGTGCAGTGCAATACTCTTATCGAATTAGTAGATTCCTCAACTAGGTAGCATTTCGAGCCGTCCAAAAGGAATAACATTCCAAACCCAGAGTACTCTTCTTTAAGCCAGGGTAAACGATGTTTTGTAACTGTCTTCAAGTCCCTGTGGCCTCAACATAGTCAGAGAAGGCCACTAATCATTTGAACAATCACTATTTCCTCTGTGCTAATTAAAAAGCACATGCATCAACCTGTACAGATATGACATCCTCATCCTCAAGAATGGAAATGTAAGATAGCAGCTTAACTAATCACAGGTATACATCTAGTGACTTGCATTTCTATTCTAAGGAGGGCCAACATCTTGTAAATTCCCTTTGTCTTGGAGTGTGACTTATCTCCAGCAAAAAATACATGTGTTTCATTTCCAATTTGAATCAAGCTATGCCCAGGAGTCTTCTTTAGACCCCTTTCTTTCATCAGATCTCTCACCTTTGATGCCTCGTCCCACATTCCAGCAGCAGAATATGCATTTGACAGTGCCACATAATTTCCTGAATTATCTGGCTCCAATTTCAACAAGCGTTCGAACAAGCGTTCTTTGAGTTCAACGTCTGGATGCTCTCTGCATGCAGCAAGTAAAGATCCAAATATAAATGCATCAGGCTCAAAAGGCATCGCTAGAATAAGTCTTAAAGCTTCGTCCAAGTTATGACACCTAGACAGAATACTAACAAGACACCCATAATGCTCTGCTTGTGCTACTATTTTGTGATTAGAAACCATATCAATGAAAAGCTCTAAACCTTCTGTCACAAGTCCAGCATGACTGCATGCAGAAAGAATACAAGTAAAGGTTATTTCATCAGGTTTTATACATTCCTCTTTTAGACGTCTAAAGAGTGAAAGAGCTTCCACTGCTTGACCATGTAGTGCATAGCCAGAGATCATTGCATTATAGATGGGCAACTCCTTTTTCAATATCATATCAAAAATCCTCTTCGCTTGATTTATGCTACCACATTTGGCATACATGTTCACCAAGGAGCATAAGACCGGTGTTGATAGTGAAAGTTCACGTCTTGTGATGTAACCATGAATTGCTCTTCCATGTCGCAGAGACGCCATAGTTGTGCAAGCTGAAAGTAGCGAGTTAATACTCAAACTGTTGGGTTTAATGCCAGCTTCTTGCATTGATTGGAATGTAAGGAATGCTTCATCACCAAGACCATTCTGTGCGAGTCCAGATATGAGAGTGGTCCAAGTAACTAAATTAGGACAGACACCAAGAGACTGCATCTCCAAGAATATGTCTTTAGCCTTACTAACTTCACCTTTATTCAAGAGACCCAAAATCACAGAGTTCCAGGATATCAAATTTGGTGGCAGACCTTCTAACTGCATCTGATAAAACAATTTTAATGTCTCACCACTCCAACCCTGCTCTGCATAGGCAGCCAACAGAGTATTCCACATTATAAGATCTCTCTTTATAGTTAAGTGAAAAACACGTCTTGCACATTCCAATTTCCCACATTTGGCATACGTATCTACTATGCTACTTGCAACAGCAACATCAGATTCAAGGTTGTTTCTAACACAAAAAGAATGTCCTTCCTTCCCTAGTTTCAAATTTCTCGAGTCAGCAGCAGCAGCCATTATTGAAGCAAGGGTCACAGAATCAAACCTCAAATTTTCCGATTGCATTACGCGACATAAACCAAGTGCCCGATCAACCAGCCCATTATGTACATAACCAGAGACCAGCAAATTCCATGTCACTACATCTTTCTCCAACATTTCACCGAAAACCAGTTCAGCGTCCTCAACCAAACCAATCTTGGAATAAAAATTTATAAGCGAACTACCCAATATGTTGGTTAGTTCCAGTCCAGATAACACTGCTAGGGCGTGACCTTGTTTACCCTCATTGATCAGACTTAAATTAGCTGAAGCTGAAAGAAAACTTGATAGAGTCACTTGAGTAGGTTCAACACCTTCCACCCTCATGTCATAAAACGTTTCAATTGCTTCCTCATACAGTCCATTATGGGTAAAATCAACAATCATCGAATTCCAAGCTACTATATTCTTCTCAGGAATTTTATCAAACACCTTCTTTGCATCTCCACATACCCCACATTTACCGTACATATCCAGAAGACTACTAGCAACAAAGATACACCCACCTAGACCCATCTTGACTGCGTAGCCATGGATTGCTTTGCCAAACCCAATCCACTGCAGAGAGCCAGAAGCCTTCAAAGCAATTGGAATAACAAAATTGTCCAGGAATAGCCCATTTTCGTGCATCTCACAAAAACACAATAAAGCTTCTTCGTTAAAGCCGATTCTACATTTTAATCCCATAATAGCAGCCCAAGAAAACTCGTTCTGTACCCGCAGCTTGCGAAACAAACGGTTGGCGATCTCTGACTCGTCGCATTTTGAATAGAAAATCACCAATTTGGTTTCGATGTACTCATTCTTTGCAATGAACTCACCATTCTTGAGAATTCGACCGTGGATTTGCTGACCCAACGAAAGAGCTCTCTCGTAAACGCAGCCCTGAAGAAGTTCTCCATATACGTCAGGTCCAATTGTGATACCCTGCAATTCCAAATTAGAAACTAGGTCCACAGCTGCTCGAAGGTCGCCTTCTTTGCATAGAGAAGATATCCGGGTGAGGTAAGATTTATACGAGATTTGAAAGTTCCTAGCACTCTCATTCAACTTCGCAGCGTGGGTGGGCGAGTTCTGGAGTTTTCTGGTACTGTAGAGAGAAGCAAGCGGATAAGTGGGAGTGACAAAAGGAAGAGCAGCCATACATGGAGAAGATGAAAAGGAAGATTGAGCAAAGCAGCAAAAACTAACAGCTTCTGAATGGGTAGCACTATCGCCCAGCCTCGTCTAAATCATTTCAATAAAAATAACAAAAGTTGGTGGTAACCTACAAGTATCAAAACTAACAGCTTATGCACAAAATTGATCTTATATTTCAATTAGATTTAAATTAAAAATAACAAATCAAGCAGCAATAATATAGGTTATATAATTGAACAAAATAGAACTTCTGACTCGGCTTTGAACAATGACGCTCGAGAGGCCCAACCGAAGCCGTCCATTGGGCTTTTGGTTAAGGAGGTCTTGAGAAATCATGCGTAGTTTTATAGGCTACTGGCTTCACTTAATCCTTGGATTCTGCCGATGTGGGACAAGTACTGGAACCACTTTACAAAGCCGAATCAAGTTACGCTCCATGGATCCATGGACGTTTAGGAAAAACTTTTATTAATTTCTAAATAAACAAATAAAAATGTTCCTTTATGGAATCAAATCACTGTAACCTGTCGCTTCCCTTCGACATTCAAACCTTTTTTGTTTTTGTTTTTTTTAATAAATCCAACTTTATCACTGTCACGTCTTAAAACTATTTTCAACAACACTTGAAGATTATCTTCAACACTTCATTAGTGTTTACTTTTAATTTTTATTTGAAACCTTAAAACCAACTTGAGTTATATTCAAAATAACGCTATAAAATGCTCAAAATAATAATTCATGCATGAGACTTTTTATAAATTAAAAGCATGGAGACTAAATTATTTTACATTTAAAACAACACAAATAATGATAATATTAGTGAATAAAATTAAAAAAAAAAATATAGCTTTTTCAAAAAGAAAAAAAGAAAACATGTGTGGTTTGTAGATTCTGTTTGAAGAGTGTCGTTGAAAATTCCAAACTTCATTAACACTCAACCTGTGACTCATATTCTCTGATTCTCCCACTCGTCTGCACCTTCTTCTTCAAGCTTTTTATTTTTCTTTCTCATCGCACATGATGTGCCTCTTTCACTTTCTTTTATACACACATTAGAAACTATGAACAAAACATGGATATAATATTTTTATTTTTTCAACAGATTGTATTTATTAACGTATGAAAAAGTATGATTTTGATGTGGTAGTCTTGCCTTTTCCTCAAACTTCTGGGTTCCTTCTTTTTATGGAAACAAAGTTGCACAATTTTTATATCACACAAACTCCCACTTTCTGCATTAAATTATTTGAACAGTCCATGGAATTTGTTTTGGGGTAGGGCCATGGCCACCAAACACGACTTTTAAAAAATAAATAAATAAAAAAAAAAAGATTATGAAATAAAGTCAAAAAAGGATTGTGTACTAAACTAAGAAGGGAATAAAAACGATTTAGCAAAAAAACTTGCGAGAGAATTTGGAGACAAAATTAATCTTTCCAAAAAGAAGAGGGAATATTCCTGGGTGTGGGCGCCAGACAGAAAGGATATTCAAACCGAATATTGCGACACGTGTCACGAGGAGAATCTCTTTATTTTTATTTTGAATCCTTAAAGTCCTTGCTTGGAAGGAGCTTCTACCACAAGCTTGTTCATTATAAGCTTTAGAAATCTCTTTTAACATATTCAATTTTCTTTTAACAAATAAGCTTGTTAGTTAAGCATATACAAGTAATTGAAAGATGTAAGGATTCAATTGAACAGCCATTTTTACTTGAAACCTTACAAAAATGAAGAAAAAGACAAAAAGTGAAAAAGTGAATTCTGGTTTGTTCCACCCAGATCCAAACAGCCATGCAAATATGGTTCAGAAACCCAGAAAGATAAAAGGTTGGTCTAAATTTTAGTGAGAATCTTTTTACCTTCATTAAAGTGGGATAACAGCAGACCAAGATTCCCCTGCTTTAATTAATTCCAGTTATTCTTTTTTTATTTATTCATAAATTAATCACATAATTTTCCATAAAGCAAGAAAGCAAAAAAAAAGAAGAAAAGGAGAGAGGGATGACTAAATTTAAAAGAAAAGAAAAGAAAAGAAAAGAAGAATCGTCTTTTTTTTTTTTTTTTTTTTTTTTTTTTTTTTTTTTTTTTTTTTTTTTTTT